AAAGGAGGACCCAGAGTTCTCGCTAGATATATGGATGATATTATATTCTTTTGGGGAGTTGACAGTCATGCTACGGTGGCGTATGAGTGGCCCCTGGGTGGGTAGTCTGAGCAGCCCCACTAAGGGGTAGAGCAATGTGCTCATGAAAGGTTGTCCAGAAATGAGGTTGGAAGAGCCCAGGGCTGTTGACCTTGGCTCTGGAAGGGACTCCCACACCGTGTTCTCTCAGAGGGCCCCATATTTGGAATGTTCCTCCCTACCAGACAGCACTTATCACATCATTACCTGAGCACCGAATCAAGGGGAAAGGTGAGGTGTCCATTGGCCCTCCTGATACCTTAATTGTGTTCCAGATGTCTCTGTCGCAGCCTTCAGGAGAGCCCAGGATGGGACTTGAGAGTTTCAGTGAGCAGATGCCTTCCTGGAGGGCCTTTTTATTTTTTTAAGTTGGAGTCTCACTCCGTCGCCCAGGCTGAAGTGCATCAGGAGACGTCATCCCTCTCTCTCTCTCTCTCTTTTTTTTTTGAGTCGGAGTGCCACTCTGTGCACATTCACGGCCCCTGCAGCCTCGACCTGCTGGGCTTCAGTGATCCATCCGCCTCAGCCCTCCAAGTAGCCGGAACTACCGACGCACGCCACCACGCCTGACTAATTTTTGATTTATTGTAGAGATGAGGTCTCACCAAGTTCCCTGGGCTGGTCTCAAATCCATGGGCTCAGGCAATCCACTCGCCTCGGCCTCCCAAAGTGCTGGGATGACAGGCTGAGCCGCTGAGCCCGGCCCCTGGGGGTCTTTCCCCAGCTCTCCTCTTCATGCTTCTAACTCAGCGGGTCCCCAGGCTCTTCCAGTCCCACAAGTGGCTGACAAAGGGGATCTGAGACAGAGCGAGCACATGGATCTGACGTGCAGCTGGAACAGGTGGAGGGTGGGAAGAAAGGGCACCAGGTGCTCACACCCTCCAGGGGAGGGCTGCATGCGCTCAGACTCTCCCCAGCACTGCAGGGGAATGGGTTTGGAACTGGGGGTTGGCCGGCAGGATGCAGAAGGCATTCTACCAGGATCTGGGCACCTCAACGTGGGCAGGGGAAAGCAAAAGCCGGAGAACCTGGAGGGGTCTGGGGAGGGAGCTGATGAGGAGTCTGAATCACCCACCACATCCCAGAGCCCCAGAACAGCCCCCTCACTAAAGAACATGGCCACCAGGTACGGTGGCTCACGCCTGTAATCCCAGCACTTTGAGAGGCAGAGGCAGAAGAATCTCCTGAACTCAAGAGTTCTTGACCAGCCTGGGCAACATAGTGAGACCTCGTCTTTGTATGAAATAAAAAATGTGGGCTGGGCGCGGTGGGTCACGCCTATAATCCCAGCACTTTGGGAGGCCGAGGTGAGAGGATTGCCTGAGCCCATGGGTTCGAGACCAACCTGGGCAACTTGGCGAGA